CCCAGAAAAAAAAAAAAAAAAAAAAAAAAAAAAAAAAAAGGTGAAGCTTATAAGATTCCAACTATCTGTAATAAAAAATAAAAATCTACCTATAGGTATATAATAGTTAAGATTCCAGAAACCGAACAGAAGAACAAAATTCTACAGTTTGAGAAAAGAAACAAATCACATACAAAGGAAAGCCCATTAGAATCACAGCAGACTTCTCAATACAAACCCTCAAGAAAGACAAGCTTGGAGTGGCATATTTCAATCCCTATAGGCAAACCACCACCAGCCCAGACTGATGTACCCTGAAAAACCATCTTTCACAACTGATGGAAAAATATGATACATTCACAACAAAGAGCACCTGAGGAAATTTGTGAATACCAAACCAGCACTCCAAAACAATTTAAACAATATCCTAAAAAAAATCATGCCTCCCAAATTTAAAGACCTGATACATTAATGGTCTTCTGAAGTGAAAAGACATTTCAGACAAAGTAGGAATAGCATATAAACACATCAAAAAATGTTCAACATCACTGGTCATTCAAGAGATGTAAATGATAACAACATTGAGATTCTACCTAACCACTGAACGAATGGCTGTTATCATGAAATCAACAATAACAAATGTCATTTGACAGAAATTTCCCTCAACCTTTGATCAATGAAGAAGGTGATCATAAAATATTGTGAACATTTAGATTTCATATTTTTATTAGAGGAACATACACATTGCCACGAATCACACCTCAAAATACTAAAAATCACTCCAACTCACTCTTACTTTGAATATACCTACTTGTTGTTCTTAGTTATATGTATTTCACTGTAATATTTTTGTTAATTTAAATATCCATTGCATCTTTCACCACTAAAACACTATTCACAGAAAAACAAATTTCATTCACATTTTCCTGGCTTGTACCTAGACATCCCTCCAAAGACTGATGTGATGATAGGTGGGGATTTTTTGGGGGGTCTGGAGGAGGTATGGTGTGTGTATATGGATATTACAGGTATGTGATACTGGGATTAAGGGTCTGTGGTACTAAGTTAGTCCTCTGATTGGAATTAGCATAGTTCTGCATGTGACTGAATGAATTTACTGAAAATAGAAGTCCAACCTTGATGTGGGTGGTGTCACTCAAAAGGCTTGTAGCCTTGATGGCATAAAAGGGAAAGGTAAGGCTGGCTGCTTGCTGCTGCTGTTGCTTTCTATTTGTCACACCATTAACTGTTTCTCCCTGCTCTGCCTATTTGGCATGGTACCCTGCCTTGGTGGCAGCCAATTACGGACTGAAACCTCTACAAACTGCGAGCCAAAATAAACCATTCCTCCTTTAACTTTAGTGATTATTTTGTCTCAGTAATGAGAAAAGTAATTGAGATACGAGTAAAAACTAAAAAATTCAATCTCACAGAAGTTGAGAGTAGAGCCCAAGACTGTGTTAGTCAGTAGAGTCAGCAGGGTGGTGTACTCAGTGGGAACATAGTACATTCACTGAAATGCATAGTTGAACATTTTCTAACCACATGATCTAGCAATTCCATTGTTATTGCACTATATGACAGTCCTAGACCTCTGAATTGAGAGGGACAAACAGAGGTAGAAGTGAAAGCATAGATTTACTAACCAGGATATGCACCTCAGGGTGGGACCAGGCCAATGATAAGAGCTCACAGCCCAGAAGAACCCAGGTGCCAGAGCCTATGTATGGTTTGCAAATAGAGAAACTATTTGAAATGGAATGGCAATTCAGCCTTACCAGGGAGAAGTCTCCTTTTTGTTTAAGGGGGATTACTTGTTATTACATGGACCTTTAAGGAAGGTCCGTCATGCCCAAAGGCCATAAATGGATCAAAATCACACTTTGAATGAAGTTATAATTTGTTATAATTGAATCAAGTCATTTGTGACTCTTTGGAATACAGTAGCACCTTGGTTCATAGACATTTCTATTCAGGAACAATGGAGTTTGGCCAGCTTCCCCTCTTGGACATGTGGTTGTGGCTTGCTCTAGTTGAGATTTTGTCATAAACAGATATGTATACACTTTGTATGGAGCTTTTTTGGTGCTTTTTAGCACATAGAGTACTGGACAGTATTGTTAAACACAGCATAACACCAAAAAAATACAGAGTAACTATGGTGACCAAAAGAAAGTGCAGAGCATTAATGAGGGTGACAAGAATGTACAAAGAAAGAATAGAGTGAAGCTTTTGAAGGAAATAACCACAGAATCAAAGAAGGAAACTGTAGAATAAGATGAGCATTGTGGTATTCCTGTGATTGGCCGGTCCTTGGAAGCCATTGCTGCCAATTTCATATATTTTGAAGAATAAAGCTACCACCAAAGGTATTGATGCAGAAAATGAAATAATGAGGTTAACCAAGCAGAGGACACACATACTGGAAGAAGTGGACAAACTTTTGGTTTTTGTTTGTTTGTTTGTGTGTGTGTGCACAAGAGATGATCTGGAGATTAAGCCACTTCTAATGTTCCACTCCCAGACCCTTCAGCATTCAAGGTACAGAATGTGAGTGAGGCCAGGCTGCCTGTCTGTGGAAGGCCATTGGGAAGGCTTGGGTCACACGGTAATTGTTCATGGAATGGCTGTAGGAGGTGTTCACCCCACTGTTAAGAAATGTCTTTCTGACAGCCAACTGCCTAAAAGCTTCCTTATTTTGGTGGATAATGCCCAGCACACCCTCCAGCCTCTGGGTGACATGGGTGCCGAGTGTGACTTCATAAACGTCAAGCTCCTCCCCCAGCATGATGCCTCTTCTGCAGCCCATGGGTCAGAATGTGAAATGCAACTTCAAAGCCGCACAGGAAGCCGCTCTTCACCAGGAGTTTTAATGTCACTGCAGAGACATCCTTGACTCTGACAGAGCTTTGGAAGAAACACTTCAGTGTCCTCCATCATGTCAACCTCACTGACAAGGCCTGGGAAGATCTCACTGAATGTGACTTTGCAAGGTATGATACACAGGCAGAGGAGGCGATTGTGCCCACCAGCAGGAGTGTGGGTCTGGGTTCTGTTATAAACATAAAGGAGCTTGCTGAGGTCTATAAGGAGGAGCTGATGGCGAAAGCACTTGCTGAACTTCAGAGTGAGCCCCAGAAGGCTCTTCCTGTGGAGAATTCCACAAAAAGGAGGAAGAGAGGGAAGAGGTTGGCGGCAATGTGATAAAATCCATCATGGAAAAATGGAATGAGTGCTGGGATTTCCTTGAGAAGCACCACCCCAACATAAGTGTAACAGAATTGAATCTGATAAATGCTATCATGGCTTTCATTACTGTTAAGTCATATAGTGAAGGAAGTAAGAAGTGGCATTAGACAGATTTTCACCAAATTAACCCTGCAGCTAAGAGACAAAGAAGAAAGGAAACTCCTGAAAGATATGGTCCCAATGTCCTTAGGAAGGGGAACTCTCCCCAAAACAATATCCTCATTTCTGCCCCTCTTCCTGTCCTCTGTGCCAGCAGTTCCCTCAAGCAAGGATAATTTTCCCTCTCTTCATACTGTGTTATACAGTTTAGTAATTTTACGGTTAAAAATACACATGGTTCAGAATGGAATAAGCTAATTGTTTTAGCTGGTAGGATTGGGCATGTGAATACATTAAATACAGGACTCATAGGTTATACAATTATTTTGTGATAATTACTCAAGAGTCAAAGACAAGGAGTGCAAGAGAATAACCACACACTAGAGGCCCACAACATTCAACTGAGGGCTTAGATCCCAGCGATTTCTCACACAAGTCCAGCTAAAGGCTTAGAGTACAAGGTGTTGCCCTCCTCAAGTCCACGCAGTGACCTAGAGCCTACCACAATGTCTCATGCTTGCTTGTAATGAGGATCCACACCTTCAAAGTCCAGTGGTGGAAGCCAGGACATCTATGCTTATGCGATGAAGGATCTGTGCCACCGAGCTGAGGAATCCACATTAGAGCCAGGAAGTGCTGATCATGGTAAAGATCAGAGTTGCTCTGATGAAAGCAGTACCCATTCCCAGTGCCACTGAGGTACCAGGCTCCTCCTCCAACAAGAACAGCCTAGTTCACATCAGGAAAGCAATCCACAGGAATCTTCTGGAAAATCAACAGGCCAAGATCTTCCTCCCCAGATCTCTTTTTTTTGGCTATTGGTAACAACCTTCAGGTGCATCCTCCATGCTCAGACCATGTTGATTCATTTCAGCTGGGTGTTACAAGTTGACCATTAGTCAATCCACTACACTTATATACATTTAACCTTATGGGAAAAATTATTTCAGTTCATGAACAATTCAATGTGCAAAGATGACTATGGAGTGAATTGTTTGTAAGCCAAGGTGTCACTGTATTTCATAGTTCATGAGTCCATAGCATGTCTTAGTTTTCAGAGGTGGATGCTCTGTGTTTTCTAAAGAACTTATCGTGGGCCACCAGGAAGCCTACAGCACATGCGCTCTCTTCTCTTCCTCAGTTGTGGTCAGTTGTCAAAACCCAGGCACTCTGTGACTTTTAGAGAACCAGCTTGCTCATTTTCCCTCTGGTATTTGACATCCCTCCTTCAAATATATCTCCAATCTAATGCCTGCCTCCCCAATCCTGAGCATGTACACAAAGGTACAGAGTGCAGGAACACAAAGAGATATTTGGGTTGATTTCTCAAAATCATCACTGTTCACAATAACTAAAACGTGGAATCATTCTAAATTCATATCAATATATGAAGGAATAAGCAGCACATTTTTGTATAGTACCAAAAATGTATTATACTTCTGATAAGAAATATTTGGGTAAGTTTCTACCCAGGTAAGATTCATTTAAATTTAGGTGTCCTATAGAGTTTGGTGTTTTCCTTGGATAACATTTCTATAGATACGAGTGACAAAAAATAAAAACCAGCAGAAGTAATGGAACATAAAATAATATATCATGTGTGTCTTAATATGTGCTGCTGAGTTCTATTTGAATGCAAATATTTTACTTACTATTTAAAAGCTAATGTAAAAATACAGCAATGAATATTGTAAATATTTCAAGTGTTAATAAACTTGGGCAATATGTATCACCTTCTGAGCCATCTTGCATGAAGAGGTTTCCGGTTGCCTGCTGGACTCTCTGAGGATATGGTTTCAACAGCACACTTGACCATTCCTCCCACTTAATTGCCAATTCAGTGTTAAATATACATTAGCTTTCAACAAGTAACCATAACACTAAGTCTGCAACTCAAATCACACAGGAATTGTAGAAGGAATAAACTAGCATTGGCTGTGGAATACAAAGCTACTGCAGGATGAACTTGAGCTTTGAGGAGATTCAGAAGAACTTTTGCTTATCCATTTCCATGGACACTATCAGCTGAGGGACATAAGAGGAAAATGTGTCTGACCCTGGAAGCTCAGTGGGACATTCCAGCCTCATTTTGTCCTGACTACCATATTTAAGAAATCATGATAAAAATGTCCCTGCAAATGTGGGTGACTTCAATGGGTAAAATATGTAAAGATCTTTGTCCTGATACCTCAGGAAGAAGGAATTCTAATGATGTCCTATGCATCAGCTGAGAGAACTGGTGATATGTGCTGAAAATAGTTTGTTTCAAGAGGTAAGAGGACTGGGGGATGCTCCACTGCTCCTGAGTGTTTTTGTGTGTCTAGGCCACCTGTGCTTATTTTAAAATTAGAGGTAGAGTAGAGGGATACAAAAAACTGAAAAAAAAAGTTTTGAACTTTGATAAATCTGAGATTGAGGCAGGGGCCTCTACTCTTTATTGGGTGATAATCTTATTTTTGACCATAGAACTGCTGAGCTGGCACACTGCTGGAAGAGTAGGTGTGCACCAGGTCTACGGTGAACTAGCCAGGGATGCACAATCTGGACTCCCTATTACATCCTGCCCAAACATTGCCTTCTATTTCCAGGCAGGACATTTAGAATCCCTGTGAGACCCTTGTTCTTGCATCTCCTTTGACTTTCCATCTGTGGTTTCACAGTTTCAACCTCACTTGACATAGCCACACTGCTCATTGTTATTTTTCAAAATATTTGTTGTATGAGTTGTAGAAAGAGCCACAAAAGTAGGGTTTTTTTTTCTATTATATGTGCCACTCCTATGAAATATGTTAGCTAATTTACCAGTTCCATCCCCAAGCCTTACAACTGCTAGCTAGATAATCTAAGGCCAGAAAGATGCCAGAACACTTTCTGTTCCTGAGAAACTAACACACTTCATTTCAATACATTTCTGTCCACTCTAAATTGCATTTCATAGCTTGGATGCTTCCATTTTCTCTGTATAAGAATCATAAGATGGAGAGCTATGTTGTGATTATTCAGTAGTGTTCTGATGACCTCCAAACTGAACAGAATCTAGCTGAGGAAAGTATGACTAGAAAATCTAAATGGGAGGCTTGCTGTGACTGAGTAACCAGTGCTATCTGTTCTTACAGAGAAGTGGCAGGGTAAGAAGTTAGATGAAATGAGGAACTTCACAGCATTCTTGCTGATGGGATTCTCTGATGACCCCTTGCTCCAGAAGGTGTACGCCATGGTCTTCTCCCTGGTTTACCTGGCAGCACTGACAGGGAACCTCCTCATCATTGCACTCACAACCGCTGACCAGCATCTCCAATCTCCCTTGTACTTCTTCCTGAAAAATTTGTCCTTCATTGATACCTGCTACATCTCAGTCACTGTCCCTAAATCCATCATGAACTCTTTGACCAACATCTATTCCATCTCCTTCCTGGGCTGTGCAATGCAGGTTTTCTTTCTTTTTTTCCTTTGTGGCACAGAATATGCACTCCTTCTAGTGATGTCCTATGACCGCTATGCTGCCATCTGCCACCCGCTGCACTATGAGGTTCTCATGAACAGGGGCTCCTGTGTGCAGATGGTGATGGCCTCCTGGCTTGGGGGATGCATCTATGGAGCCCTGCACACAGCAGGCACTTTCTCTGTCAGTTTCTGTGAGACCAACAAGGTGAGTCAGTTCTTCTGTGAGGTCCCATCACTTCTCAAACTTGCCTGTTCTGGAGAGACTGTGCTTGAGAATGGGTTGATCATTGCTAGCTCTGTGGTTGTTTTAGTGTGTTTTATTGCAATGCTTGTGTCTTATGTTCACATTTTTTCTACTGTACTGAAAATCCTATCTTCAAAGGGCAGAGTGAAATCTCTTTCCACCTGCCTGCCTCACATTGCTGTGGTGACCTTGTTCCTCTTTTCTGGGTTTCTCACATATGTAGCTGAAAATTTTGTAACTTCGTCTTTGCTGAAATCATTGACATCACTGCTCTATACGGTGCTACCCCCCACGGTGAACCCTGTTATCTACAGCCTGAGAAATCAGGAGCTGCAGGCTGCCTTGAGGAATATGATAGCTGGGAAATGTCTAGGATTTTCCTTTTAATTTAAAGATGTAAAGTTTAATTAAATTTGTGATTTTGTTGCTAATAATAGTTCTATTGCCTTTTGATACTCCACAAAATTCTCTATTTTGGTGTACAACAAAATACTAGGTCACTATTTAATCTTCCCTGTGTAGTCAGCTAATATGTTGAAAATTTTCAATTCAGTGACTCTCTTTTCACTATTGATTTTGTATCATGGAAATTTACATCAAATTCTGGGTGATTTATGTTCTCCAACAATGTTTGAAAGTATACTGGGAACTCATAATATTTTCTGGCAATCCTGAAATCAACATATTTTATTCTCATTCTGGGAATTGAACTTCATATTCAAAGTATCTGTGATTGCAGGGAAATTGCATAGATCTCATTGCTTGGATTCTAAGGCTCCTGTGGTCCATGCTAATGGCTTACTTTTTGTGGGGCTCAGAACATTCTCAGAGGCCTGGGAAATGTGAGGTCCAGAGGAGGCCGTGATGGTGCTCAGACTGAAATATAGATTTGAAGAGGTCCCAGCCACAAGCTTTTTTCTACTTGTGACAAACTCAAAACCCACAATTTTAAGAGGTTCTTAATTTGTCTTTTATTTTCCTTTTCTTTTTGTCTTTTCTCCATTGTCTCCTTATCTCTCTTCAATTTTTTCATGTTAAATATATACTTACTCTTTCATTTTTCTGCCTTGGGATGAACTATATTTTATTTTAATTCTTATTTAATTTAATACATGTTGATATTAATAAAAATATATTCTGTGAAAAAATAATTTTTCATAACAAAAAATATTAGAGAATAACAATGCTAAATGCTCTGTGTACCATGATCTAAGAGAATATATTTTTTAATTGCTAATCTCTAGTTTGTTTTCTAGTAATACTATAGTTTATTGGAATAAGACATTTTAATTATTAACCAAGTATCTCTAAGTTGGTATAATTTTGAACAATTTCTTCCTATTTCCCAAAATCTATTGTTCTTTTTGTTTCTTATTTACATTTTCAGTTTTTCATAGCAGAGAGACAATGTGATACACAGGTGTGTTCACTTTATTTCATTTGAGAGTATTCATTCATTTTTCTAGGACTGCCTGAAGGTTATCATTACATATAGCTGGATATCCCATTATATATTTTTAAAACATTATTTTTATCCATGCATCAGTTGGTGGGCTTTGGCATTTCCCCCCAAGATTTAACTATTAGAATCCATGTCATTATAATCATGGATATGCATATATTGCTGTGGTTTTGTGTTTTTAATTCTTTGGAGAAGATACTCAGAAGTGTACTAGCTGGGTATAAAGGGACCTCTAATCCTAGTTTTTTGAGGTATCTCCACACTGATTTCCACAGTGGTTGCACCAGTACACACTCCCATCAACGTTGGAGAAGCGTTCCTTTTCCTCTGCTGTCCTGCCAGTATTTGTTATTGGTTGATTTCTTGACAATGGCAATTCTTTCTTCATTGAGGTGAAATATCAGGTTTGCATATCTTAAATGACCAGAGATATTGAACATTTTTTTATGCATTTCTTTGAAATTTCTGTTTCTTCATCTTAGAAGTGTGTATCATTTCAGATTCCCTTTTTGTAGACTGGGTTTTTAATTTTTGGTGGGTATATTTTTTTCAATTGTTTATTTATTTATCTATTTATTTATTTGTTTAGATTTGGTACCAGGGGGATTGGACTTGGGTTCTCACACTTTCAGGCAGATAGTGGAACCACTGAGCCCTTTAATATTTTATGTACTCTAGGTGGTAGTCTTTTTTCTGAGGAACCATGGTGGAAAAGGTTATCCCTGATTTAAAATTTATTTTATCTGTGCCAATGTTTGTTTGTTTGTTTGTTTTGTTTTTTGTTCACAACCCTATAGAGACCTTATAATCAATATGAGAGTTGTTGGTGTTATCTCTAGTGCCAGAACAATACCTCTCAGGCTTGTAATGAAATAAGCCTGTCCTGTTTAGCTTGTATCCTTGCTTCTTTTCTTTTTGTCCTAAAATTTGGTGCCTAATGTGGGGCCAAGGTAAAGAGGATGAACCTAATATCTCTCACCTCTTCCTTTTCAGATCTACCCGCCCCAATTATTTTTCTGTCTTTCTCTCCTTCTTCCTTACGAGCTCATAAGATCATATGCCATTTCTTCCCAACCCTTTAGTAAACACTACACATTTCATTATCTAAGCCAGCACTGCTAAGATTTGCACATACCTTATCCCAGGTACACCTGGGAAGTCTGTAGGTCCCACAGGACTGGGTTCTGTAGTGGAATTCTGCAGACATTTGGCGCATGGTCACCCACCCACACTCTCAGAAAAACCTTCTCTGACCTGGTTAGGTGATGCCCATGAAATAATCTCTGGGACCGTAGTCCTTTTTTTGGACACCTCTACATGAGATTAGGGATTCCTGGACACTCTCCTATCAGCTATTATCCTTGCCCAAGTTTCTCAAATTATGCAGATACCTCTTTATGTTTTTTATCTAAAAATATTTCACTCCTTGTTTGGTTTCAAAGGGTATATTTGACCAAAATAACTTGTATTTTATTCAGCCAATGGCCTGACTTTGGCACATTTGACTTGCAAATTTCTTGTTATATTGATATCAACTTTCAGGGAAGTAGGAAGTGACAGTAGGTTCCATATGTTCAAGATTTCTGTGCTTTCTGATAACTTTGTTTTTATCTCCTCCCCGCTCTCTCTCGCTCGCTCCCCCCTCTTTCAATATCATTTTGAAACTGATACATATAAAGCAGGAAAAATTAAACTATCAAAAATAAACAGGCATAAGGCCCTACAAGTGGATCCTAAATTGCAATACAATATGCCAATTGAGTCTATTTCAAACAATGAAGCACTAGAGGCAGAAAAGGTCACACTAGTAATTATTCCATACTGGGAAAACTTTATCAGGAAAAAAATAAAACTCCATTACTATTTTTACAAAGGTACAAGGAACTGTTTTGTTTGAGCCCAACTTTATTTTTTTACTCTTCTTGAGATTTCTGTGAAAAGCTTTTTATATGTTTTCAGAAGAACCAAACCTATTAGTCATCCTTTCAATGTCTCTTGAATCCCATTTAAGTTTAAATAAGAAAATTCATTTCTAAAAATTAAAAACTCAGTCGCAGGGATGAGCTGAAAGGGAAAAATAAAAGTTTTATTCCTAGAGAACAAAACTTGGTAATTTTGGCTTTCAATTTGAGTGGATATTTTAGTTTAATTGATATAATTAAGATATTACTTTTACATTGTAAATTTTTAGACTACGATTACAGCATTAACTTGCTCTTCTTTTGGCATTCTGCTGCTATTAATATAATTTGCCCATTCATGTCTACTTGGAGAGTCATTTGGTAACCAGTGAAGTTTAACCATGTGACAACCCAGGTACACCCTTCCCTAGGCCCCATATCCCCTCTCTGCTCTAATTGGTGCTCCCAGGAAAGGGCTTTAACTCTCATTGCTAAAACTGATAGTGGACATGAGTTTTTCTGCATAATGAACTGGGACACCTAGACTGGTCAATGACAAGAAACAGACAGAACTGCCTCCTTGGACAGTTTTGACCTGGTTTGTGACATTCTTTGTTGCTGACTTAATGGTGAATTACATGTAATTATTTTCCAAGGATATACATCTTCAAACATGCAAAACAAAACAAAACAAAAATAGTGTTACTTCCAGGCTAAAGTTACTTCTGGTGGTAAGATTTAGACTCAAGTAGTAGGCTTCCCCTTGCTTATCTTGCAGCTGCTTGTGATAAGATGTGCATGCCAATGCAGACGAGAAATGGCCAGTGTTGTCATGTATGTGTTAAAAAACAATAAGCTTTTTATTTCTTTCTTTCTTTTTTTTTTTTGGTAGTGGGGACCAAACTGGCTTCCTTGAGTTTGTGAAGCAGGTGCCAGAACAACTGAGCTAAATGCTCAGCCCTTCCAAAACTTAAGATGCTCAAACCCTGCTCAGTTCACTATTCAGGGAATGGCATATGATATGCTTACTTTTTAGATGACACTCTATTGAACATGACAGATTTAAGTAAGAGTTTATCTCGTTTAACGAGGTCATCAGGATTTTTATGCTGAAATGTGACCTAATATATTCTAAGTGAATCATTTTAAGTGTCAACTGTTGAAATTATGCAGGTATTCTATTTCTAAGACAATCATGATTGATAAGGAAATAGCAGGTAATAGGTCACAGAAGATGACACATAAAAGAATAACTATTAAAAGGTAGTGTTAATATATTTCATGGTGGTAGATATCAAGATCATAATATTAAGCCTATTGCTCCTACTGCAATACTGGTTTAACTAATATCCCGGATGTTCAACATCTAAATCTTGAAGACCAAAACTAGAAAAGTGATTAGAGTAGGAGGACAACCAATATTTTGGACCTGCCATTTGGAGGTTAACAAGGATCCAGGTTCTTTTCTACAGGATCTAATACCTTTGATAAGTCATGAAAATTTTTGAATGGGAAGATTACTGGACCTCAAAGAAAGGAGTCAACCAATGTAAAATGAGCTAAAGGGAGGATCACCACGCATGCATACACAGAAATCTACATCATCAAGCAAGACTGTGACCCCTCTTGGCATCTGACGAGAGAGAGGAGATGAGAGACTCTGCAAATGCTTATAAAATTATGCCTGAGGACCTTTGACTGACCATGATAGATAGAGAGAGGATAATTTTGGTTATCACAGGTATCACTATAACTTGGTCTTGAATACCTATAAAAGTACAACCAAATCCATATTAAAATGGGCCAGGGATTTAGATTTAGCTCAGTGTGTCTGCCACCTACCTCGTAAGTGCAAGGTCCTGAGTTCGATCCCTGGTACAAAAGAACAAAACAAAACAAAACAAAACATTAAAATAGTACTAATATAGGCTTAATATAGAAAGGAAACCCCAATCATTGACCACTGCTTGCATTTTCTAGCTACAGACAGGCTGAGAATCTAGCTGGTTACAACTGCTATTCCC